CCAGACCAGGGGGCTTCTGCCGTGGTTCCTGCTGTGTCACCGGAGCTCCTTCTGTGATTCCTCTCAGCTGCCACCGACTGCAGCAGCTACTTCAGGCTGGGGGTGAAGGGCACCACGTTCCAGAAGTGTGAGCACACGTCGCTGTGCTATGCCCCCAGCTGGGTGTGTGACGGTGCCAACGACTGCGGCGATTTCTCGGACGAGCGCAACTGCCCCGGTGAGAGCAGGAGGGCACAGGGGGCTCTGGGGGACAGGGATGCCCCTTTGGGGTCTGCTTGGGCTGTGGAGGCTTTGTTTGCCCACTGGGACTGTTGTTCTCCTGCATAGATGGTGCTGGAGGGAGCTGGGACCTCAGGGGGATTTTGGGGAGGAATCTTTCAGTTTTGGGCTGGGAGGAAGGCAGGACGTGGCTGTGCTGTCGTCCTCACTGATGTTTCCATCACAAAGTAGGTGGGAGGAAGCCCAAATGTCCATCCAACTACTTTGCCTGCCCGAGTGGGAGGTGCATCCCCATGACCTGGACCTGTGACAAGGAGGATGACTGCGAGAACGGCGAGGATGAGGCGCAGTGCAGTGAGCGGCAGGGTGGGGACACTCAGGGTTTGGGCTGGGGCACAGGGCGGTGCTGCAGGGTGGGCAGGACCTTATTCTCTCCCTGACGTCCATTTGCCAAGCACAGACCCCAGATTCTTCCCCCTTTGTGGTTTTACTCCACACTGTTGGGGTTTTAGCTGTGACCAGTGTAAATGTCCTTGTGTGCTGGTTTGCTCAGCACATGCACAAATGTCTGTAGCACTTTTGAATGGGACCAGTTATGGCTCCCTTCAGCTGCACTTTTAGTTCTAACCTCCTGGAACAATCCCCAAACAGAGCTCAGGAGCTGGGGATCTTCCTCAGGTCCACACCAGCGAGTCCCACACCATCCCTGTGGGCCCACAACACCACAACACCCCCTGGGCTCCTGGAGCCCAGCTGGCCCAGCCTGGCCATGCTCTGCTGGTGTCTCCTCCCTTTATCACCTCCCTCTGACCTCCATCTCCTCCTCTTCTCCTCCCCCAGACAAGTTCTGCTACCCCGTGCAGTTTGAGTGCAACAACCACCGCTGCATCTCCAAGCTCTGGGTGTGTGATGGGGCTGACGACTGTGGGGATGGCTCTGATGAGGACAGTCGCTGCCGTGAGTCTGCTCCAGCCCTTCTTCCCCATCTCCTTCCCTTCCTGCTCCATCACCATGTTCCTACATCCGTGTTCCTGCCTCTGCCCATCCCTTCTCCCACCTGTGCTCTCGCTGTATCTGTATCTGCTGGGGCTCCAGCAGTGGGGTGATGGGGCTCCATTTTTATTGGAATTAATACCAATATAGCTGGATGGAACATGCCTGGGCTTACCCAGCCCTTGCTGCTTGACCAAGGGTGGCAGCTGTGGTGGTTTCACCCCAGAGACACCTTTGGCTGGCTGGATATTGCAGCAAAAGTGAGGGTGCCACCTCAGGGGTCTCTTCCCTGACTGATGCATCCCCAGGATGGAGCTGCCCCACGTTGGGCACCAATATATTGAAATTAAATACCAATATATTGAAATTAAATACCAATATATTGAAATTAAATACCAATATAGCTGGATGGAACGTGCCTGGGTTTGTCCGGCCCTTGCTGCTTGACCAAGGGTGGCAGCTGTGGTGGTTTCACCTCAGAGACACCTTTGGCTGGCTGGATATTGCAGCTGGGTGCTTGGGGCAAATCCAGGCTTGCAGGAGCTCAGGTTTACCTTGGTGGAGAAGCTTTAAGGCCATGGTGAAGGAAAGGAGTCGGTTCTGATGGAGGGTTTGGATCCAGAGCTTTATTCTGGCCCACAGGCCTCTGAATGCAGCACCAGCTCCAACAGAACTCCCTGAGCCCGTGGTTGCTGTTCCTTTAACCCCGGGGAGAGGGGCAGGGAAGGGGTAGGGATCCCACCAAGCAGGTACAGGAGGGGAGGGACAAAGGGACAAAGGACACCTGGATGGCCCAATGTCCCCAGGGCTGAGAGGCATCTTTTGAACTTTGCCAATCACATGATAATGCCCTTTCTGGAATGCCAAGATTGACAGACAGCACTCAGCAAGAGAGTTTAAAACAGGCTATTACATTGCACTGTAACACATCCTGCCCTTTCCTTCCCCAGGGCTCACCACCTGCAGCTCAGGATCCTTCCAGTGCCCTGGCACCTACGTGTGCGTGCCGGAGCGCTGGCTGTGTGACGGGGACAAGGACTGCGCTGACGGGGCTGATGAGACCCTCGCTGCTGGCTGCTGTGAGTGCCTGGGGGCTGGGGGAGCCTGGGGGCTGCCAGGGGCTGGTGGTGACAGTGCCCCTTTGCAGTGTACAACAACACCTGCGATGAGAGGGAGTTCATGTGTGGGAACCGGCAGTGCATCCCCAAGCACTTCGTCTGCGACCATGACGATGACTGCGGTGATGGCTCTGATGAGTCCCCGGAATGTGGTGGGTGTTTGTGGGACCCTGGGTGGGGACTGGCCCTGCTGGGTCCTCATGGGCTTTGGGCAGTGCCCTGGGAGGGGCTTCATCACCCCAGAGGGGTTTGGTGTGAGTGTGGTGAGAGGGAACCCAGAGAGGTCCAAACCCAC